TGCAACGTTCTTCCGATTGTTGGACTAAGTAAATGTCCCTCCCATTAGCCGTAAATCTATCAAACCAGATTGCTGAATAAAAATCTTAAACCAACCGATAACCCTATGATTAATAGACGCCCGATATTTTCTTCGGAGGAGATGAAAGCGTTGAAATCCCCTCCTACACACCACGGGCTTGGATAGCTGGCAACAAAATTGTCGAAACGATTTTTAAGTGGGGGAGGGGCGCGAGATTTGAAAACCACATCATTTTTAATTATTTTCTTTACGATTGAATTTTAATAAAAAATAATGTGATTTTAGAAAATCTCTCGTTTTGAAAATTTGGAAATTCCTTCACGATAAAAACACAGGTTCGAAGAGTCGCCACCAATCCTTGATTAAGGTGTGATTGGACACCCAAAAACATGTTGTCGTTTTAAATAAATAAAAATTAATTAAAACAACAAATTGAGGTCTGCGTTACCAAAAAATAAGTTCGGGAGTCGATTACGCGTGGGGAAGGATTATCACCCATAACGCCCTAAATCGATACCTAGTCGATTAATTAATGTCTTTGCAATGAATTTCATAAATTCAAATTTAACTTGGTTTATGATCCCTTAGAACAACAACATACGAATTTTCAACATTTAAAAGCACCAAAATATATTAAATTAAAATTACACACCCTTTAGAAAGATAAAGAATATTCGATTATTTAAAAAATATCGAGACAATATCTTAGATAAGTTCTAACTACATTTTCTCGATAAATTTAAATAGTCGAATATTTATTTTTCTTTCGTTCCCAAATTTTAAAGTGATGGATAATTTTTTTTTGTCACTAATGGGATACACTTTTAGTTTAAAATCATCAAAAGCGGATATCTAATCAGTTAAGACAACCCACTTAAAACAATTTTAAATTAAAAGGATATTATCCTTAATCAAATTATGCAATAATGTCAAGTTATGCATATGAGGATATCATATGTATTATGCAAAATGATGTTAATATATATTTGTGCCATATGGAAAACAATGATGATAAATGGCAAGGGACACTTGTACATTATAAGGCGCATGAATTTGGCATGAAGTAATTATACATAGATACATTTATTTGCAGTGCACCACACGTAATTTGGAAAGCAAAGAATTTAAAAATGCACATGAATTACATTACCATATTTACAGGACATTTCATGTTAATAAATTAAAAAATCTAATATGTTAAGCTTAATGTAAATGAGCTAAAGAAAAAGGAATACTTATAGAAAAAAAATATTAACAACATGACCAACCCACATCATGCGTGATGAAACATACATCAAAGTAATCATTTTTTTTATCAAGTTATGAACTAATACACACATACCTATCAAAACAATCCTGCGTTAAGAACCAAATTTAAAGGATAAACAAATCTAAGGACCCTATTTTAATGAAAATCAGAAACTATTTTTGGTATAACAAGAACCTTGAATGTTCGCCGCTCTTACTTTCTCTATTATTCAATGGTGCCGATTTAATATTAAAATACTAAAATAAATACATAGCATGTTCGTGCGTTTAATTACATATCATAAATTAATTTACAAGGTGCAAAACATACGGTTACATAGTAAATGTATACATATATGCACATTATTCATAATACATACATAGGATCCAGAAAACAAATGTCTATATATGAAATGCATTCATGAAAAATATATATGTTGCCAACTAATATATATAAAAGAATTAAATCTTCATGACATAGGCAGTATGCGAAATGAACATGAAGGGGCCTTAAACAAACTGATTCATTCTATTTTCAATGAAGTTTTAAAAAAGTCATTACTAAATCCCAAAACAACCAACAATGCTTACAGAACTCAAGATATTTGCTTGGATTTCCCTGTCCTGGCTGCCGCAACTAATAATAGAACCAAATACTGCCCAGACGTATGCAACCCCTTCGTAGCCTTCTGTTCGTGAACTCCCCCTGTTCGAATGGCCCTCTTCCCTTCTTCTAATCGAGACTTCCCTCCTTTTTGATGAAAAACCGAGCCCCCCTGCTCCAAATTTTCATTCGTAAATCATAATTATTCCCCCTTTCCAATGTAATGCCCCCCCCCCCATGTAATGCTCTCTCTACTAGCATAGAAAATTTCCTAGAAATATAGTGTTCTCTCTTTTGCTCGTGGAATTCGGCCCCTTTCCTGGTGGCCTATACTTTTTCTTTTGCTTTCTTTTTCTCTGCCTTGATTTGTGACATTGCAGGGTATGGGCACTCGTGGGTGGCCGTCAGGGTGCTTGGTGGATCCGTGCGTTGCTTCACATGGGGTGCACGAGTGCTGCTGGTTGTAGGCAGCGCATGGGTCTCTTGTAATGGGTCTCGACCGGGATGCACTGTTTATAATTTGGGGCCTGATTTGGGCTTGGAGTACTTCGGCCTGTAAAAACAAAGCATTTAATTAGTGAATTCATTTACCATATTTATCTATGTATATATATATATATGATCACATGCATGACTACATAGACAAATAGACAACCATTATGTAATTAAACACACCCATACAACTAACACACTAATAATAACATAAATAAATAAACACATGTCAAACTTAGTAATAATAACTAATTAGTAACATATAAATAAACTGGAGTAAAAACTCGAACGAAAACCCCGGATAAAAACAGGTGTCTACAAAAATCTAACAATTCTCGGAAGAATTCCTCTTTCTTCCCATCTATTGAAGAGTCGTACACATTCATGAAGCTGCATCTGATGTTCTTACATGTAATCGATCCGATAACGACAACAAACTTTCGATTAATAATCCTAGTTGACTCCTTGAAAAAGTCCCACAAGCAAAGTAATCCTCCTACCGAGCCTTCAGTTGGGCTAAAAGCCAACTCGAGATCCCCTGTTCCCCATATTCTCCTACATAACGATAAGTTCACTTCAGCCATTTTTACTTCCTAAAAGAAAGCTATCTTCGCCCTTGACTTCTTAAGAAGTCTACTGGCAGCTCTTAACTTTTTTAACCTCCCAAATCCCCTAATATTCCAAGTTACCAGAGAAATTCATTAGTCCCATAATAAATCCCACGAATTGATCACGACTTCTGTGTATCAGATTGCACGCCTCAACTCCTCTCCCAAGGCTCAAACCCTTTCAACGACCGCCTCCTTGCCTCCTTTAAACGACAGTTACAATATATTGCTCACTTCCCAAACTGTTTCTGCCTCTTCAAGGATCCCTTCGTCGTGCCTATCAGCAGAAATTTCATCTCTCGTTCGAGCATTCCCTTCCAGTGTTTCTCTTATTCCCTTCAAGTGTTTCTCTTAATAATCTCTTGGTCTCCCTTCTAATCACAGCTTTTGAACTTGACACTCCCCTCCTCGAGTAAACAAGAATAGAACCAGGAACATCCTGAGAAACGAACCTTTGCAAGATGCCCTTGCATCCTGTTGTTATGCGAGAAATTGTCGTTAATTAAGCTCTCTAAGACAGAATCAACCGATCCAGAACAAAAATCTCTTCAGGCCCACAATATGAGTTATTATAATGTAGATTGGACCCGACTAATTCATCTCCACTCAGATTTACCTGAATCAGGTAAAACAAAAGAGAATTTGTGCCAGATGTGTTTGAGAGCACCTGATCTTATTCTTCAAATATATAGAAACATAGCTCTACCCCAATTTCTATTATTAAGGTTTGTTTGTTTTGTAAAACATTTGATGAAAAATATTTTTTTAATTTTTAGCATTTAGTTGATGCAAAACAGATTGATTACCATAATTTATTTTTCTAAATAATATTTTTTATATTTTCTATAAAGTGTCGTATAATTTAATTTTTATAAATTATTTTCTAAACTTTCACTTCAAAACATAAATATCTAAAATAATATTATTTTAAGTATTTAATATTAAAATTTTAATAAAAATTAATTATTAAAAAATATATAATATATTTTTTAAAAATTTTAATGATATAATATTATAATTTTTATAATTATAATAATATATTAAAATAATATAATATATTATATTTTTATTTTAATAATATAAAAATTATTATTATTATTATTATTTTAGTATTATTTCAAAAAATATTTAAAAATATTTTTTATTAATAAATTTTAAAATATAATATATTATTTTATTTTAATATTATAATAATATTATTATTTTAAAAATTAATTCATATTTATTATTTTATTAAGATAATATAATATTCTTATTTTAATAATAATTAAATATTTTATTTTGATAAAATTTACCAGTCTTAATATTTATAATATTAAATAAAATATGTTAATATTTTAAAATAATAAAATTAAATTTTTATAATAAATAATATTATTTATTATATTCTACATTTATAATAAATAATTTCTAGAAATTTTATGAATTAGTGGAAATTGATTTATATATCATCAAAATATGATAAAAATAGTTTCTAAAAATTATTTTCTAGAAAATGTAATCTATTTTACGAAAATTATTTTCTGAAATACGTTTTTAAGTAAAACAAAGTAACCTTAAAAAATTAAATTACATTCATTTTTACTCCTCTTTATATACTTGAAAATATTTGAAGTAAAAAGAATTATGTGAATACCTGAAATCATGTTAAAAAAAAGTTCAAAATTTTGTAAAGGGAGTATCATTGTACATCAAATAATAAAAAAGTATCAAATTTTAAATAATAAAATACGGACTTATAAAATAATAATTAAATTTGAATATCGTTTGAGATAAAAGTAACTCATGTCAAATAATATTAAAAAATTGATTTTCAATCATTTTTAGATGTTATTTGAAACAAAAAAAAAATATTAATTATTTTATGCTAACACGTCAGATAATACTTTATGCATCACTCTAGTTCCATTATCATTAGAAGTATATTATACATGAATATGAGTGGATCAAAAGTTATATAAGATGAATTGGTAACGTGTAATTTTTTATACATAACATCATAAAACTATTGATATGAACCAATGATCATAAAGAAGGTGGTTCTCAGAACCAATTACTATGAAACTGCACATTCTGGGCTCAAACTTGACCAACAGAAAGGGAGGAAAAAGAATCAGCCATGGTTCATAACCATGCACCCATACCATCATATTGTAGTTTACAAGTTCCACACGACAGTTCGATGCAGAAGCTTTGGGTCGAAGTTAATTCCACCGATACGTATCGCTTTTGCGATAGGAGAAAGAACCTTTTCTTCCTGTCATTAGACATGAGTATCTGAAGATTACTTCCCAAGTTTTTTACCTGCAATGCAAGTTATTGATCAATAATGTTAGCCTGTTTAATCTATTTCAACATCAAGAATTCATCGAGAAAGAACTCCGTCTGGAGAATGGCTTGTTAGCTAGTATGTACAGCTTTTTTCATTAACCGTGCTCAGTCGTATGGTTACTTTATGTAGTATTTAGGTCACCAAGTTGAGAAGTGAAAGAACATTCATAATAGTTATCGAAGTTTCCCCGACCCTTCGTTTTTCTCTAAAATACCGGAATCAACATCCGTACGACACATTTGAACATGGATGTGCAGGAATGATTCTCCACATTCACTTATTTGGCATTCATCCCGAGTACAAATAGCCTCCCCCTACCCCATCCACACAGTTAATTCCCTCCCTTTCTTCGTTTAATGTATCGATGTCAATACTCGATCGTACGTTAATGTTCAGTGATTTACAAAGCTAGCAAACTACAGGAGCAAAAAGGCATACTATAAAGACTGACAACAGTAATCTATAATAATAAAAAAAGATCCTTTACGTAGTTGTTTCTGTTGTTATTACCGTACCTCTTTGAAACCACGACTTCCGAATTGCTTGACGGATCTGCCGCTCATGTCGTTCCAAGAGTTCATCAACTCTATGAGATTGAGACAACAAAGGCCCCGAAAACTCAACCTTCTCACCATCATCTTGGTAACCCTGTAAAAACACTTAAATTAGGTGACAAGACAATTTCAATGTAGTTTCTGGTTTTAATACCAACATACCGAGTAATTTTTCTTGGACGACATTTCCTCTCTTCGATTAAGTGCCAACGATAGCTCTTGAGAGTGGTATTTGTCAGAAGCATCAAATGAATCCCGGCGTTCAAATTGGCTCCATTGTTTCTGCATAGCATGCTTGGCAACTTCATACGAATCATGTCCTCCAGAATCAGTTCGACCTCCATATATTACATTCCCATTCTCATGTTTCGAATCAATATTGTTTTTTGTATGTAATTGGGCAGAATGGTCTAAAGAATTGTAAATGTGGCCTCTTGAGATAGATCTACTTAGTGATCTTACAGATACATCATCTTTTCGTCTTTTGGCCCATGCAAAGCCACTCGATGAAGAAACTTGTAACGGACCAGAAAACGGAATATCACCTTGGGATTCATGCTTTACATGAGAAGTCTCTTCTGGTGCATCAGTAGATGGATTTGGCACTCCAGCATTGATAGTAGTAGTTCTTCGCTTTGAGATTTCGATATGATTACCACTAATTTTCCGATAACCTAGAGTTTCTGTTGCAGCAGCAGTATCCTGCATGTAAAAGAAGAAAATTGGTTTTCTTGGTACCCAAAAATACATGGGGACAAGTGAGAGAGGGACCTCAACCAGTGCCGATTTAATTATTTCATGGGGTTTTCTTATAGGCTTTCTCGTTTCAGGCGCACGAACTCTTCCACTTATCTTTCTCCTGTGAAGCCATTGAAACAAGCTCATTGAAGATTATAACATACACCGTAAAGTCATGTATAAGTGCATAACTGCATTTTTTTTTTATAGGAATTGAAGGCCTCGTTAAAAACCTCCTTCATGATTAAAGGAGCTTATAGAGAAGCTCCTTAATCAGCGGGAGGAGAAAAAGAGTGCCTTAAGATTTCATTAACCATAGGAAATACACGATACAACCAGGGAGCCACCCCCAATATAAACAAAACACCAAAAACAACCTCAAACAATCCTACCAGAACCGGCCTAATCCAACAAAGCAACAACAACAGCCTAAAAAACAGACTGGTCAAACTCAAAGCCTAAACGTGGCTCGATAGACGCCCAAACAAAACAAAACAACCATAATAAAAGCCAAGGTAACAGCTGACTAAAACCATAGAAGCCAACTCCTAACTCAAAAGCCACCAAGCTTTCTCATGATAAGAATACAAAAAAACACGCACATAGCCGCCTTTCCACCACATTAACTGCATATACCATAGAATTTCCAGGTTATCATCATTGGGTTAGTACTGCAACATGCATAGGATGACTACAAACATCAAAGATGAAGATCGGATACATAAACACTAATTGAGCGTTTCGACCTTTCATGCTCATTGAAGATGATATCATGGGGAGTTAAGTTGTATATATGCATGAATAATGGTAGAAATTTGCAGAAGATGATCATCAGGTAAGTACTATAACATACATAAGTTGTCTGCACATTCTCCAAAACCTCGAAAAAAGAAAATTATCAGACACAACCATCAAGGAAATCAATCTATTTCAGTAGAGATTTATGATAACTGGGATAGCGGTCTTAGAAACTTAAATATACTAATGTTTCGGTACACACTCTTTCAAACAAAGTTCTCACCTTTTTGATTCTTCATGATATCTTGCATCTATCTCTTTGCTAGGTGGATATACCGGCAAGCCTGATGGATCACAGGCATAAGGCTTCGTTGTAAAATACTGAAATTTTTAGATTAAGAATCGGAATTAGTGCAAACGAAAGAAATAGTATTTCAAAAGCATTAATACAACACTGGATACTGCATTTCTAATGTTCCTCTAAAGAAAGTGCTAGCTGAACAACAAAGATACATTGAGACAAAGATGGAAGTGACACATAAAACTGAAGCCCTAATATCATATTATGTTTTGCTGTACTATGGATCAAGGTTACAATATATAGGCCATTTGTTTCGTTCGTTGGCACCGAACCCAAATTCAAGTGCATTTCTAAGTGTTATTTGACGGTTTTACTTTTTGGTGGTTGAGGTGGCCTTATTTTCGAGGAGTACAACACTAATAGTCAATTATCATCAGATTAGATACTTAAGAAGGGTGAATAACAAACTACAATCTCAATTAAGAAAAAATCATGGTACAAATTCACATGATTACCTCCGATGCAAGAGCAGAGGAAGCAGTCCCGCGCTTGTATGGCTCCACTGAAAGCAAAATTTCTACTAGGTTAACAGCGGTAACTGGTAAACCTTTAAAAGTCTCCCGAAGACAACTATGGTAAGGTTGTTGCGGTTTGAATAGAGTTGCATGAGGAAGTCTGGATTTTTTCCAGTAAACTTCCGGTGGGGAACCACAGAGCTTGAAAATTTTATGGAGCTGTTCGACCTGAACAAAAAAAGTAACATGCTTCCATTACCCTGTGATATTTATAACAGCAAAAAATTATTGCATAGATCAACAGTAAACAATGAAGAGAGAAAAGAAGCATGATTATCAGAAAATGCACACTCATATATAATCGACTACTGTATATTGGCTTTTCCGAGTAATATCAGTCATTTACACCAATGTTGTCCTTTTGTTTCTTTTAATAAAAAACCTTAAGATGAATATAATGTAAAAGGGATGTGCATAAGCAAGGTGCTTACCTCTGTTCTCCCTTGCAGGATAGGTTTCCCGAGAAGAAGTTCAGCAAATACGCAGCCAACACTCCAAAGATCGACAGCTGCCGTGTAATTTGTAGAACCCAACAAAAGTTCGGGGGGCCGGTACCATAAGGTTACAACACGACTTGTTAAGGGCTGTCGTTTGCCCGAAACATAGAAGTTAGCCAAACCAAAATCAGCTATCTTTAGGATGCCTTCATTATTTACAAGGAGGTTTGATCCTTTAACGTCACGATGCATTATACCGTGTGAATGGCAGTGATCAAGTCCGGATAACAACTGCTTCAAATAGCATTTGATCTACAAAACAAAATCAATATTCATCGCTAAAGATAACGTCTTTCGGTTTTATGTAAGGAGTGCAAATATGTACGGTGTCTTTTTGTTTCGTTCGTGTAAATATAAAGACGACAAAATATATTAATGAACTCGCCAACATGTACAAGCCATCCTTGAACAATAAGACTAACCTTAGCAACAAAGGCAAAGTAAACAAACCTGCGGTACGCTGAACTTGATGTCGGGACAAGACAAAAGCCCGGTAACATCATGTTCCATGTACTCGAATACAAGGAATATGCTACATGACATCCGGGAAGTAATTATCCCTTCCAATTTTATGATGTTCGGATGGTCGAGCCTACGAAGAATCAATATCTCTCTTGCCATGAACCGAACACTCTCGGGCTCAAAATTGTCGAAACAAACCTTCTTTAGGGCAACTATCTTTCCACTCTCAAGGTCTCGAGCTCGAAACACGGTGCTATAGGTACCTTGCCCTATCTGTTAAACCAGATGAAAAAGTAGAAAAGATCATTACATCAAGGTATGGCATTCCTAGACAATGTTGAGAAATAACAAAAGTTGCTTTTAGCAGAACAAGGACGCAAATCGAAGCACAAAGCCTGAGATGAGAACTTAAAAATAAGTCTGCAAAAGGATGGATCGAAGGGATGAGTGGGGACAGCCGTTTCCCGAAATTTTCAAATTCTCAAGCTTTAAATTTTTCTATTTATTTTCTATTGATAAACTGTTTACGCTCTTAAAATTTTATCAGTTTACTCAGCTCTAAAATTTATATACTCATCTTTCTAACATAAAATTCTGATTCGGTCCCTAGATCTGAATAACATATATTTAACTGAAAATGAAGAGTTAAAAAACATGAACGTAAACAAGAATTCCCTTTTAGGTTATCAGTAACATTAAATAAACTCACTCCATTAAAATGCTTAAAACAAAAAACACAAAATAAATTTTTTTTCTTGATTTGAAAGGGTTTGAAGTAGGAATTAATTTTGAGAATTTAATATTCAAATGAAACAATTTTCTGACATCCAAAAGCAAAGAATTAACTTTTGGGAAACAATAAAATAAACAAGAAAAGAACAAAAATGAAAATAATTCAAACCTTCTCAAGCTTCTCAAAAGAGTCGGCCTTGAGGGGAACCCAACCGTGAATGGCTTCTCCGGCGACGGCACTAAGCCATGCAGGCCAGCCGGCTGCCACGTGTTCACTTTCTATATACTTCTGCAAATTCCCCAACCGCAAACTCAGCGAGTCGGATCTCCCATTCGCCTGACCCGACTCACCCCCACTCGCCCCCAAATCAGTCACAACACCGCCGTTACTATTCTTTTTCCTCTTACTACCGGCGCCGAAGCTGCTTGCCTTCTTCTCCAGCTCCGAGAACCCGGTCCGAGACCGACCTGAGTTACTCCCAAAGCTACCGGCGGCACCGGCATTGTCTCGTAAAGCGCCCGAGTGATCTATTGCAGGCGTCACCGACACCGCCTGCTTCGAACTGACACAACCCATTTGATTTCAATGGTCGACGTTGATCATGTGATCAAGAACCAAAGATCCCAAAAATTACTCTATGTGTTTTATTCTTTGCCGCCAAGTCGCCAACCCAACACTAAATTTACAAAGAAACAAACAGCGTGGGGGAGAGATGAGTTGTAAACCGAGTTTAAAGCTTCCAAGTTCCTTTCAGAATTCAGCTTTTCTTATTTCCTTTTTATTTTCTTTTTTCTCCCTCTCTCTCTTCTTTAAAAAGAAAGGGAAAACGAAGCACTTTTCTTTTATACGACAAACATCGAAATATAAATGTGAGATATATGTATATGTTTTCAAATTTGAAAAGAGCGTATTTTTATGGGAAGCGATAATTGCGGGACGATAGTAGAAATGGAAAATCATAGGAATTTAATGCGGACGCCCCAATCCTGAGGCTACCGACCTTTGACGATTTTTTAGAGAAATTAATCAATTAAAAACAATTAATTATTAATAACGAATTTGAGAAAAATATTAAATTTAATTTATTAATAAAACTAAAAAAAATAAAGAAATTTATATACTTAAATTTTTAAAAATAAACCCTTATTTTTTAATTTATAGATCCACTAGTTAGTTTGTATGCATCTTCTCTTATATTTGACAATTCAAATGTAGCCAAAAATATTGTCTGCCAATTTACTACTAGTTGATTCTTTCTGTTTCTTTTTCTATTAACTTTTGTTAAATTAAAAATATTTATCGTTGAACTTTCTTTTTATTTTGGTTGTAACCACTGAAGTTTTAAAATATTCGATATTGTCGTAACCGGTTTTCGTCTAAGCGTGAAATTTTTACTTGGCGGGAAAAGTGATGTGAATAAATGGTTTTAAAAATAATTTGGGAGTCGTCATCGGCTTTTTGGGTCAGGTAGGTCGAATACCTAAAAATCATCCTTTAAATGAGTTTTTAAGAAAATATCGATTAAAAGATAAACTGATTTACATTTTAACCAAAAATTCATTCTTTTTTAAAAAAAAATTCGTGGTCGGTTACGTTTAGGGAAGGATTAGCACCCCTACAACGCCCAAAATTGATACTTTTTAATTATAAATTGTCTCTATTATTAGAAATTTAAAAATTCAAAATATATTTAATTTATAATCCTATTATTTCAAAATTATGATTATGGAAAAAATATATTAATTTATATATATTTATAAATAAAATATTTATTTATTTAGAAATATCAGAAAATGACTTCTAGGTATCTTAAGACAGCTCTTTTCTTCGATATTAAAAAAATAAAAAAAATAATTAAAATAATTAATATATAATTTATAAAATAGGATATTTATTTATTTAAAAATATCATAAAAATGGATATCCAGTTGTTTTAAGACTGCCCTTTCTTAATATTGAAAAATAAATAAATATTAAAACAGGATTAAAATAAGTTAAAAGTAATTAAATAAGATTTTAATAAATAAAATAAATATTATAAATATATATTTATGGCTAAATTATAATAATAATAGTAATAATAATTAAAAGTAAACATATAAAATTAACATATAACTAAACAATGAACAAAATTAAAACTATATATTTAAAATAAATATATAAAATAAATAAAAATTGAAATTAGTGACTAAATTATAACTTAATAGATTTAAATACATTAATCATAATTATTAATTTTTCAATGGCTAAATATGTTATTCTACCTTTTATTAATTTAGTGACTAGATTAAAAATTATATCAAATTCGTATATCAAATTAAAATAAGTTTAAAACATGTATTCGGGATTAAAATAAAATTAATTAGAATTAAAGGACTAAATCGGTTATTTGTCTAAAATATTTATGTCAGTGACTAAATTATAAAGAAATAACATTAAGAGATCAAATTAAAAAGTTCATAATTTGATTTCAGTGACTATAATATAAAATTACAAAATTACTAGACTGCGTACGGGGTTTAACTTTTAATAAATTACAAATAGACCCCTCCCCAAAACGGCATCGTTTGGGGAGGGGTATTTAAGCCCCAAATCAGACGGCCTTAAGGCCAAAAATTCATTTCTCTTCTCTTTCCTTCTCTCTCTTCCTGAGAGAGTTTTAAACTCTCTCGCCTCTCTCTAGCTTCCCTCACCAGAGGGAAGCCGGTCACCGGCCGGCAGCCGTCGCCTTCCTCGCCGCCGGCCACCGTTATCGGTGGCCGAAAAATTCTAAAATCTCTCAAAACATAGATCGAGATGATCTAAAATCGAATCCGACCCCCCTTTCCCACAAAACATCTCCTATTTACATAGATCTACAAAAAATACCTTCGGTATTTTGCTTCTACGGCGACCTATGAACTCCGATGGCGTCGCAGCTTCTTCGGTAAGGCTTCTCTCAATTTTTGTTTCGATTTTTTGATGGTTTGGTTGTTGTGTTCTCTGGCTTTTTTTTTCTGTGCTCTCCGTTTTTCTCTTGGGTTGCTGTTGTAGTGATTTTTGTTGTTGTTCGATCTCCCCTTGTTTGCAGGTGGTCGATGGATTTATAGCCATCACCGGCGCTTGTCTCGGAACGGGTAAAAGGGTTGATTTTGGTGAGTCACCGAACTATGTGGTGACTCACCCCTAGAGCAACAATATAGGTGGCCATCTGAGTCTTCTGGAGCCTTCGACGAGGGGCGGCTGGAATGCTCTTGGAAACGGCGACGGCCGCGTGGCACAGGAGTATCGGCAGCTGGACGTTAAACCACCTGGCATAGGCGGCGGCTGGCCTTCTGGAATCATCAGAGGCGGCTGGAGTGCTAGGGTTTAGAAACCCTAGCTGAAACCTTAAATTGGTTTAGGGTTTCTTTTTGGGTTTGGGTCGGTTCTGATTGGGCCTTCAATTTGGGCTTGTAATTATTTTTTAATAATAATAATAATAATATATATAATAATAATAATAATAATTATTATTATAATAATAATAATAATATAAATAATATTCAAATGAAAAAAAATGAGTATCTTCAGCTGCCCCTCTTTGTTTATTCTTGTGTTAACAAGAATAGAGCAAAGACGAAAAGATAATAAGTTTTTTTTCATTTGATTTTACTTGATTATGATGGGAATGTTGAAATAATTCTTCTTTGGGATTAGCTCTTCTCATTATGAACTTTTCCACTGGGGATGACAACTCATCTTCTTTTGTGATGTAATCTATCAAAGGTTGAATAATCTCTTCTCATTATGAACTTCTTCTTCCTTCTTCAGATGAGTTCTTCTCATTATGAACTTTTTCTAGAAAAGTTGATCCATCAAGTGATGAATTTAAGCAAAAGGTTGAACAGGTTCTTCTCATTATGAACTTTTTCTTATTCTTCAGATGAGTTATTTTCATTATGAACTCTAACTGGCACTGCTGATCTACCGAGTGATGAATTTAAGCAAAAAGTTGAACAAGTTCTTCTCATTATGAACTTCTTATTCTTCTTCAGATGAATTCTTCTCATTATGAACTCTAACTGGCACTGCTGATCCACCGAGGGATGAATTTAAGCAAAAAGTTGAACAAGTTCTTCTCATTATGAACTTCTTCTTCTTCAGATGAGTTCTTCTCATTATGAACTCTAACTGGCACTGCTGATCCACCGATGGATGAATTTAAGCAAAAAAGTTGAACAAGTTCTTCTCATTATGAACTTCTTCTTCTTCTTCAGATGAGTTCTTCTCATTATGAACTCTAACTGACACTGCTGATCCACCGAGGGATGAATTTAAGCAAAAAGTTGAACAAGTTCTTCTCATTATGAACTTCTTCTTCTTCTTCAGATGAGTTCTTCTCATTATGAACTCTAACTGAAAATGTTGATCCATTAAATGATGGATTTAAATCTTTGCTAAAATCTTTGAAATTCCTTTCAAAATTTAACATGGATAAAATGAATGAAAATGCACCTATTTTTGCAAATGCCTAAATATGATGCATGAATGTTAAGTTTATCTTTATTTGATTTCAAATTGGTGAACTTAGTATTTCTTCAGTTGTGTAGAAATTCAATAAATCTTTCTTCTTCAAATCGGAGAATCTATCATCTTTGAAAAATGTAGATGTAGATATAATGTCAAAAACCCCTTGAGAACAAAACTCAATGGCACAGGCTCTTGAAAAGTTTGTAATCATGTAACATGTTGATTCTGATAACTACTCATCTAATTATGAAGTGATCTTTCAAGATGATTTCACAGATATTGATAGTTCTTCTGATACCGAGGAAATCCTGAATTCTGATTCTGATGAGGAGAGTAAACTGTTATACTTGACAAAAATGGGATACTCAAATGCTAAGTCTTCAATAGTCATAGAGATGTGATCCTGATTCATCAATTGCAGAGTTGACAGATTTTATATTTGCTGCTCAAATGGCTAAGGTTGTTGACACACTTCTTCCGGTAAAAGATAAGAAGCCATTATGCAATGATCCCAATTACAAGAAAAGGCGAAACTTGGGCTATGATTTTCTTAAAAAAGAAGAAGCATAGGTAGCTTGGAAAGAAGCTTCTTGATGAAGAAAATCATGCAGTTCATCTTCCTAATCCAATGATTGGTTTTGGAATTCTTACCGAACCAGATCAGATAACTCAAAGAACACTTCCAGAAGATGCTATTGAGTCTCCTTATTTATACTATGATAACGTGGTGGTTGCTTCAGTTGGTGTTTGGACCAAAACATCACAGTACTTATATGATGTAGAGCCAGAATTTATAGATTCGAAGCATTTTTGTACTGCTGTATGGAAAAAGGCTATATTCATAATCTGCCAATTGAGAACAGATTTCTTCTTGTTCCGCTTCCAAATAACTCTATATGGTAATAATTTGTTTGTAACAATGATTACAAACGTTGATAAGACTTACTTTGTTTTCCATGCCTTTAAAAGTATTAACATAAAGTGATATTCAGAAATCTTTAACTTATTTCAAAATTATGCTAATCCATTTACAAAATAAAAGAATAAGTTGAATTTTTGAAAATAAATTGAATCTCAAATAAATTGAATTTAGAGAAAATAAACTTAGAATTTATTAATAAATAGATAGAATTGTATTCAAAGTTATGGCAAGCATAGGAATGATAAAAATTCAAATGACTCAACAAATTATTAGCATAAGTATTTCTAAATTAATCAAATTGACATAATTTAGAGTACTGATGTAAGCTTTTGTCTGAAAGATCTCAAAT